ATGAGGTGAATGTAATAGGTTAAAGAGAACGCCCGTGATGAGCTGATTATAAGCAGCTGCAGAGTGAATGTATATACCCAGTCTTCCTGAAAGAACTTGCGCTGAGCTTCATTGAGCTGTTTTTGGCTCAGTTCTTGCTGTAATGCACATTTCCCCTCGAGTACAGGTATTCTGAGTCTTCTGAATACTTCACATGAACATCAAGTCAAGATTGGATATCTGAGATGAGTCTCGTTAACAGGAAGTCATGATACAGCTTGTGGTACGCTGAGTTTTTGCACAGTTCACTTCTTAATGTTTTGTTTCATTTTCCAAGTTAACTAGATGCAAATATAGAAAGAGATGGCCTCATAATGCCAACATGTATCTCAACAGGCTACGACCAATATATAAATACAACTATTGCTGTGAGAGGGATTAGCCATGCACTTCATTGAGTGAGAACATGTACATGTAAATCAGGGGGGTCAAACTCAAATACACAGTATAGTACTAGTGGAGGGCCGGACTGGTTCAATGTTTATTGCAAAACTTATTGAAATGAACTTATTGCACATATTAAACCTGGAACTAACAAAGCTTCAATGATTGCCTATAAAAACAACATTGAACATTAAATAATCAGTTGCATTCATTTCTTATGGCTCTATCTGCAGTCATTTCTTATGAGTACATTTCTCCACAGGCCAACAACAGCTTGAACAAAACTATTTCCCTCAAAGAAAAAAACAAACATGCTCTGTTGTCTCAAGAAAGAAAGTGCAGAAGGAAACATGTAAACTCAGTGTGCTGCTCTGTGATGCTAGTTCAGATACTTGGCATCTCATCTTGGGTGCAAGGTCATCAATGTTTGGGGTCAGGCTCTGAGCTGAGGAGACCCTCAGGATTGAGTGAAGGTGTGCGTGCAATATACCGGAGGGCCAGATCTAATAGAAATTAGAAATTATCCTGCGGGCCGAAATTAAATCCACTAAGGGCCTGATTTGGCCCCCGGGCCTTGAGTTTGACACATGTGCTGTAAATGATCACTGGAGTGAATGCATGGCAGCATCAGTGGATCTTTGGTAAACTGCTCCCTCTTCTGGTCAGAGGAGACATTACACAGGTTTTGCATTAGATGTTAATTACTTTAAGATGAATATCCAGGTGTAGAGACTCAATCCAGCCTGAGCAAATATGCTGTGTCTTTTTATTGTTCATTTATTTTGGATTTCTCAATTGTTTTCATACAGTCTTTCATCAATTATCTTCTCTTACGTTTGATGTTTTTTCCCTTATTGGATTGTCACTTTTATTATCATATTTACATTCCTTTAATACATACTGCTGTGTACAGAACAGATACAGAAACACACCCTCGTTTGCAGAAAATGTGTGCGCCATGCCATTCACCCTCCTCCTCCTCACACACACACACACACACACACACACACACACACACACACACACACACACACACACACTCAGTTGAACTACAGTAACCTCTCTCTCCCTCTGCACTCAGGTTTTTGAGGAAAGGCGTGTGTGTGTGTTCTTGCCAAAAAGTCTCTCTCCCAGATGTTCCTTCTTCTCTCTCTCTCTCTCTCTCTCTCTCACACACACTCACACACACACACACACACACATACACACACACACACACACACACACACACACATACACACACACACACACACACACACTTTGAGGCGTTGCTATGAATCAAACCAAATATTCCTCCTGACAACAGATGCCTCTCCTCCCTCTGCGTTCTCACATCAGTTCAAACTAACAGACAAATCCTGCTTTCACACAAACACCACCAGAGGAAGCTCAACATGTGTGTTTTAGCAGGGTTAGAACTGTAATCTGTTATAATCACTAGCTACCTGTAATCTGATTACTTTCCGTTACTTTTGGAGCCAAGCTAACAAATACAAGAGAACAGAAATATCAATAAGATGTTGTCATGTTGTTGTTGTAAGTGTATTATGTAAGACAACAGAACAATGTGACCTTAGAAAAAAAGAAATCAAGATTATATGTGTATCCTCTACACCTGGATTGGACACCTTTCCACAGAGGACCACAGTGAAAATATAGCTTTTGGCCAAGTTGTTTTTTTACTCATAAACAAATCAATATGTTTGCATCTTGGGTGAATGAAGAGACAGATATTCAGTTTGTTCTGAGCATCAAATCTTTGTCTCTTCTTGTTCAGGAACTTCTTTAGGATCTTTGTGGAAAACCCGGAGGCAGGTTTCTGTTTTTCTTCTTTTTTTTGGGGCAATTTTCTCCTGGAGTGCCCAGACTTTAGAAAGTTGTGTAGGTCAGCAGCTCTGATGCTTGTGTGGGTTAAAAATACTGCCGGGTTTCCTCTCTGCCAAAGGCTCCTATAGAGTGTTCAGCAGTATGTTAGTGAGAGGTAGTCAGCCAGGAAACTGGATACATGTCATTTAGTGGATGTTATCTGTCTGCAAGTCCAAGTCAGACTTCTGAGAAAAAGTCAAAATATTGAGAAAGAAAGTCTGAAAAAGAAAATGAAATCTAAAAGAAAAGTCAAAAATACTGAGAAAAGTCACGAGACTGAAAAAGGTAGAAATTCTGAGAAATGTTTTTTTATTTTCAGAAAAAAGTCAAAGTTCTTGGAAAAAATCTGATTTCCTGGAAAAGTTCAAAATTCTGGGTAGAAAGTCTGAATTCTGTAAAAGTCAAAATAATGAATAAAATGTGTTTTCAAATAAAAGTATTTACTGACATATTTTGTGTCGTATAACAAAATGTTAAAATCTCTTCAGCTCTTGTTAACCACAGACCAGATTTCAGGCTCACAAACAAAAACACATTCAAAGCTTTGAGACCAGTCATATCAGGGTTTAGCATTCATTCACTGTTCTATCCTCCATACTGTACGGACAAGAACAAGCAGGTTTAAATCCTAGCTCTCTTGCTGTGTTTGAAAGAAGTCAAACAGGATCTCATAATCATAATGAGTGTGTGTGTGTGTGTGTGTGTGTGTGTGTGTGTGTGTGTGTGTGTGTGTGAGAGAGAGAGTGTGTGTGTGTGTGTGTGTGTGTGTGTGTGAGAGAGAGTGTGTGTGTGTGTGTGTTTACTACAAACTCTAATTTAAGTGTAGCTGCTGTTTACACCACATGACAAAAAACGTTGTGTTTCCACATCAGGTGCACAGGGCAGCGGAGACGAGGAGTTTGAGGCCTAGACGCAATAAATCTGAAGCAAAACACATCTGCCATAACAAAAACACAGACCCCCCCCCCACACACACACACACGCACACACACACACACACGACTGCAGGTCGGCCTGAGCTCAAAAAACAAACTGAGCTTGAACGGAGCCAATTTTAGAAAAGCTGATGCTTACGATAATTCCCAAAATGAATAAATGAAAGTGAGTTAAAGCTACAAGAACAGCCTTTTCCCTGAACAGCAACACATGCGTCAGAAAATGAAATATTCAGTGTTACATAACAATGAAAACGTTTCACTGAGACATTATCTGTGCGACTCACTCTTAACAGAACAACAGTATATGGCCTTTCCAGTTCATGTCTGTGCGTTTCTGAGGTCATTATAATACGAGTGATGTTATTCTAATAACAAGTGCCTCGTGTTCTAAATCCACCTATTGACAAACGAGCAGGTCCAAAAGTGTCTTCCAGGCTTTTTAAGGACCTGCAGAAACACTGAGGCTGTTCTTAGAAAACCAGACCAGAGTTCAGATGATCTCAACTTTACCGGGAAATCACACACACACACACACACACACACACACACACACACACACACACACACACACACACACACACACACAACACACACACACACACACACACACACACACACACACACACACACACACACACACACACACACACACACACACACACACACACACACACACACACACACACACACACACACACCAGTTTCTTTATGTGCAGTGAGAGTTGGCCTGCCGCCCAGATCCTGTTTCTCACTAATTATGGACAGAAGTTAAACTGCAGCAGGGCCACACACTTCCTGTCAGAACTTTCAAAATAAAAGTCCTACTGAGGGAGGTAGAATAGAACAGGATAGAGTACAAATAAAAAAGGATAATAAGAACTAAAGGGAACAGCAGAAGAAGACAGACAGGAAGTAAACAAATGGCTTCCCTTCTTTTTATAAATTTTATTTTATTTCCTTTCTTTCAAAGCTCCCTCTTTTATTGTGAATCCAAAAGCTCTCATTTCCCGTCTCTCTCTCTCTCTCTCTGTCTCTCTCTCTCTCTCTCTCTCTCTCTGTGTGTGTGTGTGTGTGTGTGTGTGTGTGTGTGTGTGTGTGTGTGTGTGTGTGTGTGTGTGTGTGTGTGTGTGTGTGTGTGTGTGTGTGTGTGTGTGTGTGTTTGGCACCTCCTCCTCCACCTTCAAACATGGCGCCGGCCCGCAGCTCTGCTCCTTCCCTGACAGACGACTCAGCTCCGGAGAGAGAGAGGGAGGAGGAGTGGGGGAGGAAGCAGAACCTCGCCATGACCGAGTGTTAAAACCTCTTTTTAAAACCAAAACAACAACATTAATAACTCTTTAAAGGCTCTTTCTTTACGCACCGCTTTTTTTGGAAACGTTTACGCGTGAGACCGTGCGTAAAGGAGAGCCCACCTGCGCGACGAAGGTAGATTTCACTCCGGCTCTCCAGGATGTGATTCTCCCGGATCTGAGAGAGAAAGGAACGGAGCACTTTGATGGTTCCTCGGGGTCCGATTTTGGCTCCGGTAAAAAAATGAGCAGAAAGTCAGACTGAGGCTTTCCAGGAAATAAAAACACAACAACTTTCTCCATTTCTTCCACACCGAGAGGATGGATGGGGAACACTTGGAGAGGGAACGAGAGAGGCTTCCTCCGATTTACCACAGCTCCGCTCCTGCTGTAAGAAAACACGTTTTATCTCCTAACAAAGTGATTTTCTCTCTAATATCTCAGAACATGTGTTTGTGATAACAATGCACTATATCTCAAATTGGAAAAAAAACAGTAACAATTTTCAGAATAAACACGTTTCTAATTACAATTAGCAGTAAATAAAGCTAAAGCATGCATCAAGAGGGAACTTAATTATAATCCGATAAAAATGGATGAAACACGTTTAGCATTGATTTTAAGAACGCGCTAATGGATCAAAAATGAAAACGGAAAACACCACTATGTGATACATGGATATGAATTAGCAGTGTTGAATAAAGTAATCTGATCCTTTACTTAAAGGTGGGGTATGTAATTTATTTCAGATACACTTTTTGTTATATTCCATGGAATGCTCTTAACATCCCGATAGCAATGAATATCAAAGTGCTTTGACAACAAATACATACAAAATTTCATCTGTGGAAGCTGTAGTACTGTAAAAAGCACGACCAATCATTTTAGCCGGCCCGGCTAAAATAACTGGATGGCCTACCTGCCTGTCAGCCTTCCATCTGTGCACAAACTTATCTCGTGCCCTCATTGGTCATGTGCGCGTTCGTGTGTGTTGGAGGAGGGGCTCTGTAAGGAAGTGGCAGATGTTTTCCGGCTGTGTATTTTCAAATTCTAGCGCACTCGAGCTGGTTTCTCCAAAATTACCTACCCCACCTTTAAGTAAGAGTACAAATACTATGATGTAAAAACGCTAAATTACAAGTAAAAGTCTTGATTTCAAAATAAAGTACAAAATTACTCATTCTGCACATTTCAGAATAATACAACTTAAAGAAGTACTATCAGCTAAATGTACTTCAAGTATCAAAAATAAAAGTACTTTGATGGCGGTCAACCACTAATGGGGCATTTCCACCATGGCGCGGTTTAAGCGTGCCGTGTCGTGCCGGGCCCGTTTTTGGTTGCGCTTGCGGGGTTACTTTTTCACCTTTTTTCTGGCCCGACAAAATCGTGGTTCTATCGTGGCCAACAAACAGGGCTGAGTCGGGCTGAGTATGCTAAACTAGAGAGAGAATCGCTGGCAAGGGGGCTACAACTACAACAAGATGGACATATTTGACCGTGATTTAATTGTAATACACGTTTCAAAATGATGCCGAAGTAACAACATACTGATACCGGTTAGTAAAAACCATGAATTAATGCTTTGACAAGTCTGCAGACAGACGGCAGGCGAAAAACCTTTTAAAATGCGTGTTTTCTAGATGGAGATTGGCTAAGCTAACGCAGTATATGCTCCGACCGTCCACACTCACAACAACGGCCTACAGACATAAATAAAGCAGCGACTGTATTCACCATGACACAGGCAGTCTGTGGTTTGTACTTGTTTAACTTTTGTCTAGTTTCTGAACATATATAAGGAGCTGTGAGCTCTGAGTGCTAACAGCTAACGGCTGATGTTGTTTTTCTGGGGTTCTCATTGAAGATGACGTCACGGCTCCGCCTACACTGCGTTACTATAGTAACTACCCCAGTTCCTAAACTGTAATGGAAGCGCAGCATGAAGTGAGCCGGCCCTAACAAGGCCCAACGCGGCCTAGCAGTACCGAGCGAGGCCGACCGTGTGGTGGAAATGCGCCATTAGAGATGTCCCGCCCCTTATGCTGTGTTCACACCGGACGCGATGCGACGTTTGGGGGCGGCGCGATTACATGTAAAGTCAATGCAGAGACGTGGACAGACGCGAATTCGCTCCGACGGCGCGCATGAAGCGGTGGACGCAGCGCGAATCACACGATTGAGGCGATTGAACGGTACCGCGTTAAACGCGAGAGTTCAATTTTTTCAACTCGAGCGTCAAATTCACGTGACGCGTTCTCGCGGAAGCCAATCAGCGGTGAGGATCTCAGCCGCCGTCACTGACGTTCAACCACACAACATCAGCCGTTAGCTGTTAGCAGTTAGCACACAGAGCTCACAGCTCCTCATATCCGTTCAGAAACTGGACAAAAGTTAAACAAGTACAAACCACAGACTGTCTGTGCCATGGTGAATACAGTCGCTGCTTATTTATGTCTGTAGGCCGTTGTTATGAGTGTGGAATGAGCATATACAACGTTAGCTTAGCCTGGTCGACCCGATCTTCATTCAGAAAACAAGCATTTTAAAAGGTGTTTTGCCTGCCGTCTTGTCTGCAGACTTGTCAAAGCATTAATTCATGGTTGTTACTAACCGGTATCAGTATGTTGTTACTTCGGCATCATTTAGAAACGTGTATTACAATTTAATCACGGTAAAATATGTTCATTTGTTGTAGTTGTAGCTCCCGAGCCAGCGCGTCTTGTTTGAATGATGCGAGTAAACACAGCTGGCAGCCGCGGTGAACCTCCAGCGTTTAGAGCGATGCGATAGGAGCGATTAGAGCGAAGCGAATAGTCGCATCGCGTCCGGTGTGAACGCAGCATTAGCCTATCACGTACCATGTGCGCTAGCTAATAGGAGCGTGAGTGCTACACAGTGATGTCACTATGTTCTGGAAGTAAACACAGGGATTTTAGCCTTTGCAGACCATTTACATCAGGGGTGTCAAACTCAAGGCCCGGGGGCCGAATCCGGCCCGTGACTTCATTTTCTGTGACCCCACAACAGCTCTGAAAGAATATGATATGTTTATTATACGGTTACATGCCGATTTACAGAAGCACGTTGCCCTTAAACTACATGTCCCACAATGCATTTCAAATTTGACTTTTTTCTCAGAATTTGCCTTTTTTTTTTTTAAATATGCCTTTTATCTTAGAATTTGCCTTTTTCTCAGAATTTGACTTATTTTTCAAAATGTCACTTTTTTTCTCCAAAATTTCACTTTTTGTTCCGACTTTTTTTCTTCAGAATTTGGTTTTTCTTTTTAAATCATTTTGTGACATTCTCACTGAAGAGACTTGCAATTATTTGCCCTAGACTTTCTGCTTTCAGACCTAGTTAATTATGAAGTTATTACCCTATCCGATAACAATCCAATGCAGGGGCAATAACATTATTTTATATATATTAAATATTTATATATGTATTTTTATATAGTCTTAAAGTTACAACCGGCCCTTTGAGTGCAACCATAATGCTGATGTGGCCCGTGATGAAATTGACTTTGACCCCCCTGATTTACATGCACTGAAACACATAGAACAGGAGAGGGACAATCCTAGTAGGTCCTCTTTAAGATGATTTAGTCTTTTAGTTTTCTCCGTGTGGAAAAAGTGATGCCCCTGCAGCAGCTTTTGATGATGTAACCTCTGTGTTTTTAAATGTTGTATTTCCAATAATGGTGGATCACTAGTAGTATTACAGTGTTAGTAAAAACCTAAAAGGAGCATATAGTGTTTGTTGTAAAGGATCAGATGTTGTCTCTTCTCTGTCAGCTGTTCTGTTCTCTAATACTTTAAGAGTGAATCTATTCTTCTACTTTCTGAATCTGCTTCATGGTTTTCACTTTCTTTGCTTCATTTGTTCTGTTCTTAATTCAGCAGGTGAACCCATATGTTCATTAAACAGTGTGTGTGAGCTATACTGTTGCCTCTCGCTGGTTGCTTGATGTCATCTCCATTGTGTCAGGCAGTAGGAATGTGCAGATGTTTTTTTTGTCTGTCATTGCTCAGACAGTCTGGAAATGTCATAAAGTGTCTGCATGCGTTCACTTTCTGCAGCTCCTTAGAAGTTTCCGCGTCCCTCGAGTTTTACATCTGAGGAAATTCAGGCTCAAAGGTTGTCTAAAGAAAAGCTCCGACATACAGCGGGCTGTCATTGCATCGCGGACCAATAAGAAACAGGAGTATTGAAGACAGCTGGTGTTCACTGAAGGGTGTTTCGTACCTGAGACAGAAAGTAAAACAGCTGCTGTTTCAGGGTTTTAAAAATCTCAATAACACACATTTCCAAACAAAATTTCTATAAAATATTTCAGTCCAGGAATCTTGAATTTGTTTAGTCTAGTGCTGATGTTCTTTCCGCCTCTCTGATATCTCCTATAATTCTGTCATCGCCCTTTTTTGTTTATGGGTACAACAGAAGAACAATTGGTGAAGTGATTGAGGAAGCATCTCCCTGGTTCCCTCCACAAAAAGAGAATGGAACTTTCCCAAATGTTGTTTTAATTCTGGTTTTATTTGCAGCTGCACTCTGATCGTGTGTGTGTATGTGTGTGTGTGTGTGTGTGTATGTGTGTGTGTGTGTGTGTGTGTGTGTGTGTGTGTGTGTGTGTGTGTGTGTGCTGTCAGTAGCGGCTGCTGTGCATCTGTTGATTTTCCAAAGCCTCTCCTCCTCTTGATGAACTCTCCATCTCTCTTGTTTACTCACATGATTCAAGTCCTTTTCTTATTCTTCTCTTCACTTTCTAACCATCTCACCTTCTATCATTCCTTCTAAACTCCTCCTCTTCCTCTTCTTGCTCTTGGGGTTCAGCTTCATTGTGCAGAGGTGTGAAAGAGCAGCAGGTGATGAAGTAAATATTACAGGAGATAGATTTTATTTTATTGGACGTCTGGATTGATTTCAGGAGTTCTTGTTCTGGTGAGAAACCTCAATATCTAGAGAGTAGTGAGTTTCACTTTGTGGGCAACTGGGAGGACGTATTTTAAAATGTATTTTAATTTAGATGCCATTTAGTTGTATTTATTCTTATCTTATTATTTTTGTTGTTATTTAATTGTTATTTGATTCCTTTTTTATTCTTATTTTTATTTTCCTTTTATTATTTTATTCATGTTGTTTACTCTCAACTCAACTTTTTAATTTAGCTTTGAATTTAATTGTGTTTATTTGATTCTGGTTTTATTCAGTGTTCGGTTTATTGACTCCTATTGGTGTTAATTATTTTGATCAGTCACAAAGTTATCTGTGACTTAGTTTTACCTTTTTGTGTAAATAAAGTGCTCTATGAATAACGTTTAATTGATTGATATAAAGCCTCATTAGAAACTCTTCTCTGCTCTTCGTGGTGATGATGGCTTCTTCCTGTTCTTCCAGGGTTTCGGGCGAGGAGCGAAGCAGCCGTTTCCGTCGTTGGGAACGTTCATTTCCACTCTGAACCAGAGAAGAGACGCCGCGGGGCGAGGAGGATTCATGACGGGAACTCTGAGCGGCAACCAGTGGCTCCGACACGGTGAGTCAGACAATAATTATCTACTTCGATTGCTAACAAGGGTCTAAAGGAGACGACTAAACATCATCGCGCCCAACATTAGCCTCCTTTAGCTTAGCGGTGGTGACGTGAAGTCATGTGACCGTGCTGTAGTTCCTTTATAGACCAACATTAGCCACCTTTAGCTTAGCGGGGGTGACGTGAAGTCATTTGACCGTGCTGTAGTTCCTTTATAGCCCAACATTAGCCACCTTTAGCTTAGCGGTGGGGACGTGAAGTCATGTGACCGTGCTGTAGTTCCTTTATAGCCCAACATTAGCCTCCTTTAGCTTAGCGGTGGTGACGTGAAGTCATGTGACCGTGCTGTAGTTCCTTTATAGCCCAACATTAGCCGCCTTTAGCTTAGCGGTGGTGACGTGAAGTCATGTGACCGTGCTGTAGTTCCTTTATAGCCCAACATTAGCCACCTTTAGCTTAGCAGTGGTGACGTGAAGTCATGTGACTGTGCTGTAGTTCCTTTATAGCCCAACATTAGCCACCTTTAGCTTAGCAGTGGTGACGTGAAGTCATGTGTCCGTGCTGTAGTTCCTTTATAGCCCAACATTAGCCACCTTTAGCTTAGGGGTGGTGACGTGAAGTCATGTGACTGTGCTGTAGTTCCTTTATAGCCCAACATTAGCCACCTTTAGCTTAGCGGTGGTGACGTGAAGTCATGTGACGGTGCTGTAGTTCCTTTATAGCCCAACATTAGCCTCCTTTAGCTTAGCGGGGGTGACGTGAAGTCATGTGACCGTGCTGTAGTTCCTTTATAGCCCAACATTAGCCACCTTTAGCTTAGCGGTCGGTCACGTGAAGTCATGTGACCGTGCTGTAGTTCCTTTATAGCCCAACATTAGCCACCTTTAGCTTAGCGGTGGTGACGTGAAGTCATGTGACCGTGCTGTAGTTCCTTTATAGCCCAACATTAGCCACCTTTAGCTTAGCGGTGGTGACGTGAAGTCATGTGACCGTGCTGTAGTTCCTTTATAGCCCAACATTAGCCATGAATCAACTTAGTACCCAAAACAAGACACATTACATCTGTACCGGGAAAAATAAGTGTATAAACATTGTAGAATTTCATCTCAACACCTAGCATGTAGCATCAAATCATACAGTATAAGGACTTTAATGCAACAGTACTTTCTTTCTTTGCCTCAGTATACTATATGCAGTGTGTCATTGTGGTGCGTTCACTGTCTGCAGGACGTAATGATGTGTGACTTCCTCTGTTTACACTACGCTTGATGTATGTGCTCTCTCTCTGTTTATGTTGAGCTGCTAACATGGCAGCGTCTCCTCAACGGAAAGTTCTCAGTGAGTGAAGACTAAGTAAAGCTGTTCAAGCTTTCCACTGAAATAATCTCACAGCATGCAGAAAATCACACGGTCACAAACTGCTAATTAGACCGTGAGAGGCGTTTTTATGGGGCTGAAATTAAGCGTCTATTTTCAATTTCACAGCTCGAGAAGAAACTCTGAATTCTAGGTTGAAATTACTGTGTTTTTAGACAGAAAGGACCCTTAATGAAAGCAAACATATAAATAAAAGGTGACCAACATGTCATGAGGCGACATTTTGTTTATCCTCCGTCAGCGTTTTTTAGATTAAAGGGAACGTGACTTCCTGTTGAAGGCGAGGTTATTTTCTGACTGCCGTGAGAACGCTCACCAGCCACTTGTCACCACGGCTCCGATGCCAGAATAATTATGCAAACCTCCGCCCCAAATGAAAACCATATGAAAGTGAAAACACACACACACACACACACACACACACACACACACACACACACACACACACACACACACACACACAGTCGTCCGGCTGCTGGAAATTCACCACAATTAGCCACTTCATCTGTAACGTATTAGAGGAGGTTTGTATTGTTATGGTTTCATGTGCTGAGGCTTCACATCAAGATATAAAAACAACAACGACACCTTTTGTAGAAATAGTGAGCTTGTCTTGTGTTTTAAAAACTACTGGTCTCAGCAGGGAAACTGGGGCGTATTGGAAAGGGGGAAATAGCAGAAAATTGATTAAACATTTAAAGGTAATCTACTGTCTCGGTTTGGCTCTCTTTTAAACATCCCTGTCTTCCTCTACGTAAGTGTTTGTCTTGTATCTGAAATGACTAGGTTAGCTACGTTAGCTAGCTAGCTTACATAAGATCTGCAGTAACATCAGAAGGAGTCATAATAATAATACTTTAGCAAAGAATTGCTAACAAAGCACTTATACTAATAAAGGACTGGCTTATCTAAAGCTAGTTGAGTAGCACTTGAAATGTTTTAGCTCTATGAAACCTGATGTACTTATATGATTCTGTTTTCTTCAAGTTTGTATCTTGTTGGTCGAATGCACTTATTGTAAGTCGCTTTGGATAAAAGCGTCAGCTAAATGCAATGTAATGTAATAATAATAATACATGACACTTATATAGCGCTTTTCTAAAAACTCAAAGAAGCTTGTCATGTGATCACATTGTTAAAATAAGCCCATAAAACATTTTTGGTAAGTTTCCAACTACAATGGCCGACTTCCTGTTGGGTTTACGATATGACGCCAAGAGGCTTTTTTGTGCGTCTCACGGTGCTTCATATGTCTACCATATTTCAGACCTGTAGGTGAAACCACAACGAGGGGCTCCATTTTAGCAAATGTGTTGGGGGCAAGCCCCCAGGAAGTGCGCTGGACTCTGATGAAAATATTCGTTGTGTCCAAACGGCGGTACTGCAACTTCAGTATCAGTCACTGGGTCCAGAAAGACTTTTCCCCATTGACTAACATGGGGAAAGAGACGTCTGTAAATCAGCGGATAATTTTTTTAAACTAAATAAACTACCCAGGATGAACTATTTTATGGCCCTTATTAGAATCATTCGGTCCTTAAAGTTGTAAAATGCACTAAAAGCCGAATCTAGATTTATTTTCTGTCTCCATTCATTCTACTGAGCCGAGAGTGGGAGTTCGGGGGGTGGGGCTTAAGGGGCGCATGCTCTGTGAGCGCACATACGGGTTCTTCTGCTCTGACAGCTAGGCATGATGGGTAATCTGTGACGTTTCACTCTCTCAAAAGTTGGGCCATTTTGTCCTCATGAGCCAATGAGCAGCTCTCATAGGAAATAACGAGACTCCGCCTCCTACGCTGTATCCAGTTCTTATTATACATCCATGGTTGGGGGTCCTATAGAGTCAACGATATTAAGACCCCTAATTTATCAAATTTTCCATCAGTTCTGACAAGTTTGCGAAAAAAACTCCAGCTTTTAAACACGTGAAGCCCCTCAGAAACGTAATTCAATTCGTCAATTCTAATAACTTTAGGGATTTCAATCTGTCCCTAAATGAATGGCCGACGGTCGACGACAACACTTGAGGAAGGTTTCCGTCATCAACAGACATCACAGCTTTGTTAAATAAAGGTTGGGGGAGGGGGTCGTCCTTTGGGGTCTTAAAGGTGACTAATTTGATTAAAGGCTGTCATGGCAACCAACACTTGTTGGTGTCAGGTCTTAATTGGATGATGCATACGTTGACAAAGGAGGATGATGATGATGATGATGTGGAGGAGGTGGAGGAGGAGGAGAGAAAGAGGAGGAGGAGGATGAGGAGGAGGAAGAGGAAGAGGAGGAGAAATGATCCCCGTTCATTTCTGCATTTTGATCAATGTCTATCACTATCTTGTGTTTAGATTTGAGGATGAATTTGTTTCGGGAACCCATGAACGGATATCGAACATACTCATTCACCTTTTCTAGGAAACTGTTTCCATGGATATAATAGGATTTTAAACTTCGTTATTTTAATTTTAATTGTAATTGTCATATCTGATTTGATTATACAGTCAATTCTTATAATATTTTACACAAATACCATTTTATCTTGGGTTAGTTTAGGATGTATTGTTTTATTTGTATTATTATTATATTGTTTTATTTTATTATCATTTTTCATTTTTATATTTGTTTTAATTTAGAAATTATTGTATTTATTGTATTTAATGTATTTATTGTATTTAATGTATTTATTGTGTTTATCGTATTTATTGTGTTTGTTTGAACACACACATAAGACTGCCTATCACACAGAGAATGAAAAACCGAAGAAATGTAATAGGAAACGTCACAAAAGAGTCAAACACTATTTTACAGGGGACTTAAACACAGTAAAGCAACATTATATTTGAATAAAGGCTATTATAATTTAAAGGAGACTCAGATATAAAGAAATCTGCTCCTGTGATGTAACATCTGTCTCCTTTATCTGAACGAGCACCCACAATGCACCTGGTGATCCTCGTTTCCGTGGAGATGGAGACAACAGGAGGCTAATTATAAGAGGGATGGATGGTCTGAAGTGTGTGTGTGTGTGTGTGTGTGTGTGTGTGTGTGTGTGTGTGTGTGTGTCTTCTTGTCGCTCTGTCGTTCGTTGAGAGTTCTTCAGATGTTTTGATGTGTCTGCTTTGATTCATTTCATAATTTATTCCTGAATCGTTTTTCATCCTCCAATACTGATATACACCTGAACATCAGCAGGAGAGGACTCTTTAAAGTAGAGACACTACATACTGATATACACCTGAACATCAGCAGGAGAGGACTCTTTAAAGTAGAGACACTACATACTGATATACACCTGAACATCAGCAGGAGAGGACTCTTTAAAGTAGAGACACTACATACTGATATACACCTGAACATCAGCAGGAGAGGACTCTTTAAAGTAGAGACACTACATACTGATATACACGTGAACATCAACAGGAGAGGACTCTTTAAAGTAGAGACACTACATACTGACATACACCTGAACATCAGCAGGAGAGGACTCTTTAAAGTAGAGACACTACATACTGATATACACGTGAACATCAACAGGAGAGGACTCTTTAAAGTAGAGACACTACATACTGATATACACCTGAACATCAGCAGGAGAGGACTCTTTAAAGTAGAGACACTACATACTGATATACACCTGAACATCAGCAGGAGAGGACTCTTTAAAGTAGAGACACTACATATTGATATACACCTGAACATCAGCAGGAGAGGACTCTTTAAAGTAGAGACACTACATACTGATATACACCTGAACATCAGCAGGAGAGGACTCTTTAAAGTAGAGACACTACATACTGATATACACCTGAACATCAGCAGGAGAGGACTCTTTAAAGTGGACCTATCATGCTATATTATAATAATATAGTGTAGGACCATACCTATATAAGGCATATTTATACTTTTTTTTTTTCAAAATACCAAACAGATCATGCATTTTAGCCATGCCTCATTTCGCTCAATTTGACATTTTTTAGCTCTGTTTTAGCAAGGGCAGATTCTGTGAGAACAGCACCACCTACAGGCCTGGCATATGTACTACAGCGTCTCCAGCGCTTTCGAACGGCAATGGCCGTGGCTGTCTCCTCCTGATTGGTGGAGTTGGCCCAATAGCCGTAGCGCCACCGTCCTGACGTCAGGACAGTGTTCAAATCTGGATCAGTTTGTATCAGATCTGTTGCAGCCCCTTTTTTAGAGATTTGGGTATGGAGGAAAATAGAGAGGGTTGTGTTTTCTGACACTTGGTGAGTTCCCTGGAACACCGGGGACACATATTCATGTAGAAAAGACGTACAAAAGTGCATTTTGCATGATAGGTCCCCTTTAAAGTAGAGACACTACATACTGATATACACCTGAACATCAGCAGGATATGTCCTCTTATACAATGATTGACTTGTTTCATTGATTTCCCCTTTCTGAGTTAATTGTTTCTTGTGTTTCCTCCTCAGGGAGAGATTTGCCTCCCATCTGCAGCGATGTTCGTCAGAGGCAGCGTCTCTCCATCGACACTCTCCCCGCTGAGGTCAAAGCGCCGTTCCCCTGCGACCCAATCATCCCCCTCCGCACCAAGACCACCAAAGAGTTCCAGTCAGTTCCCATTACCACAACAACAACAACAACAAGTGTACCGCTTGTAAAAAACAAGATTTCTTTTTTCATTTACTCGGTCACTTACAACTCTGTTGTTTGTGTGTGTGTGTGTGTGTGTGTGTGTCTCTTTTTGTGTGTCTTTTTCCAGAGAGGACATGGAGCGAGCCGTCCAATCAGGCGACTGGAAGGAGGTCCGCGAATTTTACCTGACCACCTTCGACTCCTTCATAGAAATAAACGCTGCCTTCAAGGTATGGCACACACACACACACACACACACACACACACACACACACACACACACACACACACACACACACACACACACACACACACACACACACACACACACACACACACACACACACACACACACACACACACACACACACACACACACACACACACTCACTCTCTGGCTCTCAGCCTGTTTTAGATGCCGTTAAAATTTCACCACACACTATAACTTTATTTTTTACGATGGGAACGTTTTTTTTCCACCATAAATGTTTTTCTCATTCTCCCTCCTTCCCGACATTGTTTTGAATTCTCTGATTTTTTCCCAGCGGGAGGCGAACGCATCTTTCAACACCATCGACGACTCGGGAGTCAACGCCAAGTTTGTCAACGCTGTTTACGACGCCCTGCTCAGCACGGTAAGCACACACACACACACACACACACACACACACACACACACACACACACACACACACACACACACACACACACACACACACACACACACACACACACACACACACACACACACACACACACACACAGATGACAGGATGTGATCTATTTTCTCGCCAAATATTCAAGTTACAATCTGGCGACGATATATCAAATGTCCAAAATGTATTAAAGTTATTTCATTTAAATAAAATCCCTTAAATGAAATAGAAGTAATGGGATCAGTGCTCCATTTTGGAGTTTAAAAAGAAATGTAAAAGGGGAAGAAAGAAGTAGAATGTTCAATAAATATAAAAATAATTCAATCATCAATTATCTTTAAATCAATTAAACCTAAAACCCTTCAAGCTGTAAGTACGTAAAGGTTAGATACTAGGGATGTAACGATATATCGAATATCGCGATATCGCGGTAAATAAATGTCTCAATACCGTCGTGAGACTGACAAAATCTACCGCGATTTTAAAAAAAAATTATAAAAAGATGTTTTAAACACATTTTTTTTTTTTTAAACCTTTATTTAACCAGGTGGTCCCATTGTAGTGTTGCACGGTGTACCGATACTTGAAAGGTACCGCGATACCCTGCCGTTAAAAACGTTACGATTCCTCCGTTTCATTAGTATCGGTACTTTAAGAATGACGGGGAAAAGTACTCCGGTGAGAAAGCGCTGTTTTAATAAGAGCCGTGTGTGTTCAGCGCTCTGCTTCCACTCTCTGCAGCCGTGCCTGCAGCCCCTCCCCTCTCAAGCGCGCTCTAAGTGCCTCCCCTCTCTCGTGCACGCGCTAGCTGCCAGAGCATGTGAGAAAACGAGAAGCTGCAAGTGGGAGTGCAACTGCCGCTGCGCCTCGGCTTGTTGACAAAAAAGACTATTATTATCGATCTCTTTTTCAAGAGAGACCTGTCCAACATGGCAGCAAGTAGGTTACAACATGAACATAACACAACAGATAACTCAAAAGGACATCGCATTTACAGGGCTACATTTACATACCTAGAGACATTGACAAGTACCAACAGTATATGTATATCTCGCCCTGTCAATAAGCCAAGAGAGACAATGCACAGTTTGACCCACTGCTGTCAGCCATGGACAAAGCATATCTCTCTGTCCCAGCAACATCAGTACCAAGCGAGAGAGTTTTCTCCACAGCAGGGGATATTGTAAACGCCCAAACATCCCAGGTCCTACCTGGAAATGTGGGCATGCTCATATTCCTAAAAACCTGTCTGATGATGCTGAGTGAGTGAGTGAGTTTGAGTTGAGTTACTTGAAAAACTAAAGTGAAACTTAATTTATTGTATTGCAGGGTCTGATTAAGATATTGTTGACACTTTAAAATACTACTAAAATGCTCAACAAATCAGATTTATTATTCAATATCGCGATAAATATCGTACCGTGAACTTTTTATCGCGATATTATCGTACCGTGAGTTTTTGGTATCGTTACATCCCTATTAGATACACATGTTTACTCTGCGTTTTGACTCTTCTGTCTTCTCAACGTGTTTCTCTCTGCGCTCAGCCTCAGGACATCCAGAAGTCGGTGCTGAAAGGAATCATCAACAGTCTGCTGAGGGAGTGGAAGGGGTGAGGCATGTCTTCAACATGTTGGGATGCATAGGGTTACAGAGGCAATACACAGGCAGAGCTGGGAAGTAACTAAGTACTTCTACTCAAGTACAAGATCTGAGTACTTCTACTTTTACTCAAGTACAAGATCTGAGTACTTCTACTTTTACTCAAGTACAAGATCTGAGTACTTCTACTTCTACTCAAGTACAAGATCTGAGTACTTCTACTTTTACTCAAGTACAAGATCTGAGTACTTCTACTTTTACTCAAGTACAAGAACTGAGTACTTCTACTTTTACTCAAGTACAAGAACTGAGTACTTCTACTTTTACTCAAGTACCAGATCTGAGTACTTCTACTTTTACTCAAGTATAAGATCTGAGTACTTCTACTTTTACTCAAGTACCAGATCTGAGTACTTCTACTTTTACTCAAGTACCAGATCTGAGTATTTCTACTTTTACTCAAGTACAAGAACTGAGTATTTCTACTTTTACTCAAGTACCAGATCTGAGTACTTCTACTTTTACTCAAGTACCAGATCTGAGTATTTCTACTTTTACTCAAGTACAAGAACTGAGTATTTCTACTTTTACTCAAGTACCAGATCTGAGTACTTCTACTTTTACTCAAGTACCAGATCTGAGTATTTCTACTTTTACTCAAGTACAAGAACTGAGTATTTCTACTTTTACTCAAGTACAAGAACTGAGTATTTCTACTTTTACTCAAGTACCAGATCTGAGTACTTCTACTTTTACTCAAGTACCAGATCTGAGTATTTCTACTTTTACTCAAGTACAAGAACTGAGTATTTCTACTTTTACTCAAGTACAAGAACTGAGTATTTCTACTTTTACTCAAGTACCAGATCTGAGTACTTCTACTTTTACTCAAGTACCAGATCTGAGTACTTCTACTTTTACTTAAGTACAAGATCTGAGTACTTCTACTTTTACTCAAGTACAAGAACTGAGTACTTCTACTTTTACTCAAGTACCAGATCTGAGTACTTCTACTTTTACTCAAGTACAAGATCTGAGTACTTCTACTTTTACTCAAGTACCAGATCTGAGTACTTCTACTTTTACTCAAGTACCAGATCTGAGTATTTCTACTTTTACTCAAGTACAAGAACTGAGTATTTCTACTTTTACTCAAGTACCAGATCTGAGTATTTCTACTTTTACTCAAGTACAAGAACTGAGTATTTCTACTTTTACTCAAGTACAAGAACTGAGTATTTCTACTTTTACTCAAGTACCAGATCTGAGTACTTCTACTTTTACTCAAGTACAAGAACTGAGTATTTCTACTTTTACTCAAGTATAAGATCTGAGTACTTCTACTTTTACTCAAGTACCAGATCTGAGTACTGCTACTTTTACTCAAGCACAAGATCTGAGTACTTCTACTTTTACTCAAGTACCAGATCTGAGTACTTCTACTTTTACTCAAGTACAAGATCTGAGTACTTCTACTTTTACTCAAGTACAAGATCTGAGTACTTCTACTTTTACTCAAGTACAAGATCTGAGTACTTCTACTTTTACTCAAGTACAAGATCTGAGTACTTCTACTTTGACTCAAGCACAAGATCTGAGTACTTTTACTCAAGTACAAGATCTGAGTACTTCTACTTTTACTCAAGTACCAGATCTGAGTACTTCTACCTCCTCTGTTCATAGGTACCTTGTTCCTGCAGACACAACATAACAACAGGAAAGTACTTTTTAAATGGCAGAGATTTATTCCAGATGTTTTTTGTGTGTGTTTTGTTTTCAGGCCTCGGACAAAAGACGACCTGCGAGCGTATTTCATTCTGGTTCAGGTGAGACTGAAACTCCCTAAAACTCACTCAAAGGTTTCCTGGTATAAAGATCAACTGGACTCACAATAAAAAAGTGGTAGTAAAAAAAAATTGAATAAACTACAAATATATAGCAATTTTGCTAGCTATATATGTATCCTCCCTACGTGTGTGTGTGTGTGTGTGTGTGTGTGTGTGTGTGTGTGTGGTGTCCTTTCTTTGATTTGATAAAATCCCGCTTCATCTTATTTCTGATCCCTCTCTCCACACACAGTATGATGTTGTCCCGTTTGACTCGCCTCGTCTTCCAACCAACCACACACACACACACACACACACACACACACACACACACACACACACACACACACACACACACACACACACACACACACACACACACACACACACACACACACACACACACACACACACACACACATGGTGTGGAGGTCATGTTGGAGTGGAGGACTGCTGGTTTCCTGTCTGATGATGACTCTCCCTCCTTTATAAACTATGAAAGCTACACATTCATTTATCTTCGTGTGTGTGTGTGTGTGTGTGTGTATGTCACCCTGTTAAGACTAAATGGACCTCTTTGGGATTATCTCAGTTATTATGTCAGGTGTTATTATTCCCTTTGCATCCAAACATTAATCTAACACACAGAGAGCGTCGTGTTCTCACTCTCAAAGTGACTCACGTCTCTGAAAAGCAAAACAAAACAACAGCCATTTAAACACAGCTGGATCTGATTAATGTGTGTGTGTGTGTGTGTGTGTGTGTGTGTGTGTGTGTGTGTGTGTGTGTGTGTGTGTGTGTGTAGAACCCGCAGTACTCCAGCACCAGCACCTATGTGATCTACGCTCACCTCCTGAGGCAGATCTCCTCTCTGTCCGAGGCCGACCACCACTACCTGGTCCACTGGCTGAAGAAGTAAGTGTGTGTGTGTGTGTGTGTGTGTGTGTGTGTGTGTGTGTATTGTGATATTACAATTGCAATATGATTGTCACATACGTTGCCTTTACCACACACACTGCACTCTTGATATAACAAAGCAGTACACAATAACACTTTAATAATTCTGCAGCCCTAGTTTGAACTTTTGATGTTTGTTTGCATCAAAGTTAGCTCTCCTTACTTGTATAGAGAGGCGAAGTCCCTCCCCTTCCGGTGGACCTCCATGGGACCTTATTTCGGAAAAGTTATGCATTGAAGTCAATGGAGAGAGAAAGATTATCTTTCGATCCCGTTTGAATTGTGCCACGAATTACACATATGATGTTTGTCAATTTAAAAGATAATTTTGCAAGTCAAAAAAATAATAATGTGTCGTGAAACTGTGAAGTAACACATTTGTTTGTGTGAAACGCTCAATGAACTACATCTCTGGTGAACAACACACGTCACCAAGATGGCCGTCACTACTGTCTTGTCAACACAAACGATTGACTACCCTCACTATCACCACAATGAAACACGTCCTGAAGAATGTCATGCAAAGCTGCCTGCCTGCCTGCCTTCCTTTGATTCTCTCTGAACTGCCTGGTCGTTTTAATGTTTAATGTCAACCATTTGTGCAGATAGCATGAAGTAGAAAAGATCGCCGATGCTAACGTTAGCGTTAGCATTTCTCCCCCGGAATTAAATGGTGTATTATAGAATGATCACACCGGTGACAGTACTATTCAAAGGGTTCACGAAATATGACTACTACTCTTACTGTTTAACATTTTGGGTTACTTAATGTTACTTCATGTTAAGGCTAATAAAAATGACAAGGCTGTAATGCTAACTAACGTGCTAGCTACTAGCTAGGTAGCTAACTTGATCAAGCCACTCCTGGTCGTTTCATCAGACGGGAAGCAAAAGAACGAGCAAGACCCATTGCTGGTATGATAACAACCTGGTACTAAGCACACAGGCATCTTGTTAAAGTTATCTTATCTTAGCCAGCGCCATATAGATAGATTATATCTATATTGCGCTGATCTTAGGTATCTGAATGGTGGAGGAAAACAATTGTGACATCACTTACGCGACTCTGGGATTTGTAGTCTTTCTAGTTACGTATTTTTCATAGTCTTATATTTCAACAGTTTTACGACAAACTGTGACTTTTTTGACATGGAAATTGATTTTTTAAGTTTGACAAACATCATATGTGTAATTCATGGCACAATTCAAACGGGATCGAAAGATAAGTTTTCTCTCCCCATTGACTTCAATGCATAATTTTTCCGAAATAAGGTCCCATACCCCGGAAGTAAGTGGGAGGGACTTCGCCACTCTATAGACCTCTCACCCTCTTCTCTTCTTCACTATCTCTTTCTTCATCAGTAGGAATCGAGCCAAGGGGTTTTTTCTGTATCTTCGTATATGTTATATCATCTCAGGTTTAGTCGTATGTTTAATGGAGTATAAATCCCTCTGAGAGGAGTATGTTAGTGAGGCTGTGTTAGCAACGTGGAGCTCTTTATCTCCTGTCAGCTGCTGATGGAGTGTGTGATGTACATTCAGAGTGTTTCCATCTCCAATCAGCTCTGATGAATCTCTCTGGTCTTCTGCTGCAAAGCCACAACTCCTGACCAACTGCAGACGCTCAGATTCTTCCTAACAACCCACTCGTTTTTCCTCTCTAACTCGAGGAGGGTCATGTGTCTTACGTCCTCAAATATGCTTCATCATATAGACTATTATCATCACACTCATTGTTATATACACAAAGACGTAAGAAGTATTCAGATCCTTTACTTCAGTAGAATAATACACTAAAGTACAAGTTAAAGTCCTGCATTAGCCGCTTTCACACCAAGTACTTTGCCGTACTTAGTTCCCAGCTCAGTTCAGATCGCGTTCACACCGGAATAACGCCTTAGGCGTTGTGCACACGGGAACGTTTGCGTTTATGCACAGTATGCGTTTTCAAAAAAGTCTTCCGTTCACATGCATACGTTTCATTTAACGTGTCTGTTCAAACGAGGCCGCTGGACACGCTGTAGTACATATGCCGGGACTGTAAGTGGCGCTGTAACTTCCGCCAAAATACACCAAAAGCCGCGAAGAAGAGCAGCCCGAGCAGCCCCGCCACAATGTTGCCATGGCTACCCTTCTGTTTAAGCCCCGCGGTGTATTTAGCAACATGTAGTTCATGTAATTCTCCATGTCCACTTGTTGCTGATGGTTGTGGTAGAGGAGCTGTAGATTTTGCACTAATATCTGTAGCATGGTCAGTAGCAGTAGCACTAGCAGTAGCTACTGACAGGAGGAAGTGTGTGTGGCGATTGCTGGTATTCAGCGGGATATAGTAATTTCCTCAGCATGTAAATAGATGGATAAATGCAACGGGGAAGTTAACTGAAAGAAACCGAATCTGTGGATATTGCATCGACCGACCAAGAAGCACGTCTCCGTGGAGAGGACGGCTCAGAAAGAGAGATATTCTCTACAAACACCGGGTGAGATCGCTCCTCTGGGACACGCCGGTCCTCGTGTTTCCTTTTTTTGTGTGGATTATAGCCTGAATAGGCCTACAAACATTTCTCTTTTTGCCGCCGACGGGCGCAGGAGCAATGAACAATAATGGCCTGGATTAGGCAGTAAAGACAATTTTGGTGTATCGCAGAGCGGACTGTTTAATTTTGTTTGTGTTGTTTGGCTGGAAAATTGTCAATATAATGGATCAATGCATGAAATCTGACTCTGTTTATTTTGTTTAAGGAGTATATTGGGCGTTAATAATTCTGGTTTGCCTTTTATAATATTATTTCATTCAAGAACCCCTTGTGCATTTAATTAACACAGCTATTTTTGATAGTTGATCGTGACAGATGGCTACTGGCCATGCTACAGCAGTGAGCAGCAGAGGTCGGGAGAGGTGGGGTGAGGCTATCGTTATTTTTTCAGGAAATATTCGTATAGAGGTGATTACACGGACTCGTTTGACCCCCCAGAGAGTTTTGTTTGCAAATCTATCCACCTTGGGACCCGTTATCGTTTGTGGGGTCAGTTTCTATCGGCCTCGTGTAAATAATAGGGCTATACGCACGAGAAACTATGCAGATACAAGCAGTTTTGTCCTCGTGTAAACGGCACCTAAGTCCCTGAGGGAAGATTACGCAAAATGAGCCGCTGACGTCACTTCTTCTTCTTCTGCTTTGGGTTTACTGGCAGGCGGCAAACAACTTCACGGTGTATACTGCCACCCGGAGTCCCCGGCCGGAAGTCCCCGGAGTTGGGGACTGGCTTCAGTAGAAGCTGCTGGGACTCCCAGCAGCTTCTACTGAAGCCTTCAGAGTAAATCGCCAGAACGCCGACACCTCCTCATCTCCACCGCTCCCATGTTTTATTTGTGTTGCCATAAGTTAGTCTCTCTCCGTTGGTGCGCTGGGCGAATGCTGATGCTAATAATGCTAATGCCAGCAAATAAAATGGCAGCTTCACAAAACTTTTCTGAGTTTTACGGGGCGTGGTTTGCAATTCGCCCAGCCAATAGAAATTGGTACTTTTTCTCCCCAGGAAAGTACCAAAGTACTCTTTTTGGTGTGAACGCAAAACTCCAGGAACTATCGGAACTAAACGGGAAAAGTACTCCAGTGTGAAAGCCCCTATTGAGAATGGTACTTGAGTAAAAGTATGATCAGGAAAATATACTTCAAGTATTAGAAGTAAAAGTACTAATTGAAGAAACATTTATTAAGAGTATTTATTGAATTGTACGTCTCCTGTTCTTCCTTTCGTAACATAGTGACATCACGCTCCTATTAGCTAGCTCCAATACATTGTACGTTAAGGGGCGGGACATCTCTAAGCGGTTGACCAATCACAGAGCAGACTGGGCTCTGGTTTCAGACAGAGGGTGAAAAGAGGTGCTCCAGCACAGGCAGTTTATATATATATTAAAATGTAGTTGTTACAGTCTACAGCTCGTATTTCAAGAGGTGGTATCAAAAAGCATTCCCTAATAACCAACACTATTTAAAGTCACAATCATTTAAAAGTATTTCATGTACTCCTTTGTGTAGAGACAGAATCAAACATAGGTCTTTGTGTAGTTTACATCGAGTGATTTGCTTTAAATTACAGGTTCTATATAAAATAAATGTTCCCGTGCAGCGGCTATTTCTGAGCACGTGTTTATTTCAGTGACTCTGCAGATCCAGCAGTTTGGACTCTGCCAGGATGCTAACTGTGTGTGTGTGTGTGTGTGTGTGTGTGTGTGTGTGTGTGTGTGTGTGTGTGTGTGTGTGTGTGTGTGTGTGTGTCAGGCTGTCTGCGCGGCGTTTCAGGCAGCTGGTGGAGCGCCTCCTTCAGTTCATCTCGACTCGTCTGTTTCCTGCAGAGCCCGATGAACTTCCTCCTCTCACAAAGTGCTCCTGGTGGATCCCCTCTGCCACCAAAGTGCTCAGCCTGTTCAGTGAGACACACACACACACACACACACACACACACACACACACACACACACACACAACACACACACACACACAACACACACACACACACACACACACACACACACACACACACACACACACACACACACACACACACACACACACACACACACACACACACACACACACACACACACACACACACACACACACACAATCTCAGCCTGCAAGCTGCATAATTAAATCTCAACCTTTCACACAGTAACCCACTTACAAGTTTAAACTGCCAATTATAGATATTTCAATTATTAACACACACACACACACACACACACACACACACACACACACACACACACACACACACACACACACACACACACACACACACACACACACCACACACCAACACACACACACACACACACACACACACACACACCACACACACACCACACACACACACACACACACACACACACACACACACCACCACACACACACACACCACACACACACACACACGAGTCCAAGTCACTCTCGAGTCACCACTCTTCGAGTCCGAGTCCAAGTCCGAGTCACCAAGGGAGAGTCGTAGTCGAGTCCGAGTCCAAGTCTGAGTCACCCAAGGAGTGTCCGAGTCGAGTCCGAGTCCGAGTCATCATTACCTGTGTTCGAGTCCGAGTCCAAGTCCGAGTCACCATTACCTGTGTTCGAGTCCGAGTCCAAGTCCGAGTCACCTAAGAAGAGTCCAAGTCAAGTCCGAGTCACAAGTCTTCATGTATTAATCTTCGTGGATATATGTGTTGAAATGTAGCTGCTCCTCTACATTGCTTTTATCCTGTCATGTTATACTAATCTGTCTATTGAACTGCTGTGAAGCGAGTTTGGCTACAATTCTTGTAATAGGTGCTATACAAATATAAAGCTTATTACTAATATTAATATTATTATTATTATTATTATATATAAATAAACTATGTTTAAAATGAGTTACAAATATAATCACTTCTCTAAAAGGTATGCCAATATTTTCCTATGGTAAAGTTTTCGTTTTGCACTTTTATTTTGATAGTAATAAGATCGGGACTCTTATTTTGAAGGAACTTTTACCGGTTAAATCGGTTTACTGATAAAGATTTAGCCCCAGAAAGCACATGGCTACTTAGCATGCAAAATGACGTCATTCTGCATGTTAAGTAGCCGTGTGCTTTCGTGTTATCGGCTGAATCTTTATTTATTGATTAGATCACGTTACTCTGATGATAGTGTTCAAGACAGCCTATATGTCTGAACTCGATGTTTAGAGTAATGTGTTACGGAGCCTTCTCTTCAATATTGTTTCCACATAGAGCATTTTGCGCTGCTCTTTTCCAATGTGGAAGCAGAATGTGTGAAAGCATACAGCACGATGCGGGGTGTGTCTCTAGACATCTTTAGACTGGAATAGCGGGGCCCAGTACGTGAACTAGCCTCGCAGCCGGTGCACACGCCAGGATAGAGGACATCAGACTCCATAGAAAACTTGCTCGAGTCCAAGTCGGAGCGTCAATGTACAAGTCGAGTCCGAGTCATCGTGGGGGGAAAAATGCACGAGTCCGAGTCCGAGTCCAAGTCAGCGTACGCGATAATTCACGAGTCCGAGTCCGAGTCCAAGTCATCGTGTGCGAGAATTCACGAGTCCAAGTCCGAGTCGCGTCAATCAGTGCGCGAGTCCGAGTCGAGTCACGAGTCCCGAAAATCGGCACTCGAGTCCGACTCGAGTCCGAGTCCAGGACTCGAGTACTCCATCTCTGGACAGTATATACAGTATACGATACTTCCCCACAAAAACACAGAAACTAAAATATACGTATTGAGCGTTGAACTTAAACATAAAAATGGACACCTGTATATTTATTGAGAATGAAAACATACCGTCTTTATTTCTTCCCTTCCTGTCCTCAGACGCAGCCAACAGCGTCTCCTCGACTCCCATCATGCCTTTCACCGACTTCTACAACATAACCCTGGAGCACATCGACTTCATGGAGGAGTATCGGACCTGGCAGAGCTACGGAAACTCAAACAGGTCAGATCTCTGCGGACCGATGGGAGATAAGATAAGATAAGATAAGATAAGATTAGATTAGATTAGATTAGATAAAATAAGATAAGAAGTTCTTTGTTGATCCCAATTTGGGAAATGTTTGCAAATGACCGCAAAGTGCCTCGATCCCTTGTAGTCTGCCAGCGAAATATAACATACCTCTGGAATGTCAAAAGCGACCAATCGGAATCGAGTATTTAAATGAGCCGTGCAATAACTCCCAATAGAGAACATGCATCCAGAGTTCTATGTTCTTAGTGAAAGTACAATATAATATAAACAAAGCACGGGTTATTAACTTCACATTTTCCTCTCGTCTCCCTTCAGGTTTTCCTTCTGTCAGTTTCCCTTCATCCTGTCCACGGTGGTGAAGAAAGCCATCATCCAGAAAGACTCAGAGCAACAGATGATCAGCCAGGCCAGGGTGACACACACACACACACACACACACACACACACACACACACACACATACACACATATGTACTTTGTGGAACATCATTTTGTGCGAGCAAGAACCTTACTTTCAAAATGTCCCTTATTATGTGCAAGCATTTATGCGAGAAACAACAGACTACTAACTTGTGTGTGTGTGTGTGTGTGTGTGTGTGTGTGTGTGTGTGTGTGTGTGTGTGTGTGTGTGTGTGTGTGTGTGTGTGTGTGTGTGTGTGTGTGGTGTGTGTGTGTGTGTGTGTGTGTGTGTGTGTGTGTGTGTGTGTGTGTGTGTGTGTGTGTGTGTGTGTGTGTGTGTGTGTGTGTGTTGCAGCAAAGCCTGGTCAGTAAGGTTTCTCGCAGGCAGAGAGTGGACATGAACCTTCTGTTTCTCAACATTAAAGTACGACGAGCACAACTCCTCAGCGACTCACTGGATGAGGTTAGTGCACACACACACACACACACACACACACACACACACACACACACACACAATTTTGATGTTAAATGTTGTTATTTTTTGTTCGGTCTCAAGTTAAATTTCTTTTTAAAATTAAATATTCTCTGTGTGTTCTCCAGTTGACGAGGAAGCGGTGCGACCTGAAGAAGAAGCTAAGGGTCACGTTTGTGGGCGAGGCAGGGCTGGATATGGGCGGTTTGACGAAGGAGTGGTTTCTGCTGCTGGTGAGACAGATATTCCACACTGACTACGGTGAGAACATGTTCAGAAAGCTCTTTATTTTTCTCAAAACTGACCTCATTTACTGAGATTCATCTTCAGATCTGACCTAAAGGGCCCAGATTCTGCTCGTTTCAGGTTCATATTAGTATTTGTTTCCATGTCTCCATGCTTTAATGTTCAAACAGCTCTTTATTTTTCTCATACTGCCTGTGCTGCAGCACCTCTTTTCACCCTCTGTCTGAAACCAGAGCCCAGTCTGCTCTGATTGGTTAGCTGGCCGGCTCTGTTGTGATTGGTCAACCAGCGAGCGTCACTATGTTCCGGAACTTTGGGATTTAAAGGCCCGGCCCCGGACACACCAATCTGACACCAAAGAACTCACACAGACGGACCCCCGACTGTTGTGTCGCCTCGCGTCTCTGCGTCTTGGCCATGTGTCGCACTGGAACACACCGCAAAGACTTCAGCCGACGGCCAAGAAGCACGTACGAACTGCGCATGCGTGAGTGGCAATAACTCTCCTTACCAGCAGGCGGTGGTAGTGTGTATTCGTCATTCAAAAGAGGCAACAACCGGAAGACAGACTGCGTGATACACCGAGAGAAGAAGAACAGACTGCGTGATATAAACAAACAACAAATAGCATGTGCGTTCCATTTTCACTCTACAGCCAGAAGCTCATGGGGCTTTCCCCAACCTGTGTCGAGAGCTGGAGTTAAATGAAATCTCAGATTGGCCTTCTTAATCGTTTGTTTGGGTCCCTCACTTCCGTTTCGCTTCTCATGCACTGATTCGCTAGCCGAACAGCCAATCAGAGTGATTTCTTTTGGCCGAAAAGGCGTCGGCCCGGCTGAAAAGACCCGACGGTGCGGGACACACCAATCTGAGTAGGGCGTGTCGACGCTCATCGTCGGCCTGACGCCCACCGACGCCGATAATCGGCCTGGTGTGTCCGTGCCTTTAGCCGTTGCAGACCATTTACATGCACTAACACCTACAGAAACCAGCGGTGGAAAAGATTCATTATTCTGCGACTTTATTCTCCTTCACTCCGACTTATTTTAGGTTCTGAGGAAAAATTCAACATTTGAAAAAAAAGTTAAAATTCTTTGAAAGATTCAAAATTCCGAGAAAAAGTCAAAAAAAATAATAATAATAATTCTGAGGAAAAAAGTCAGATTTCTGAACATTTAAATAATAGGTCAAAACTTCTGAGAAAAATGTAAATAATTGGGAAAAAAGTGAAAATCTGAAAAAAAATCTAAATCTTAGGAAAAGTTTACGAATCTGAAAAAATACCTAATTTGAGTAAAAGTAAAAACAATTAATAATAATCTAAGAAAAATAGTCAGATTTCGGAATAATGTGACAAAAGTGAAAATTCTGAGAAAAAAAAAATCTAAGTTTGAGAAAAAGGTGAAAATGCTGAGAAGTCAACATTTGTAAGAAAAGGGGGAAAATATTCAGAGAAACTGTAAAGGGGAAACCCCCTAAAGCAGAGTAGGTCTCTTTATCTTATCTTATTGAAAAGTAACAGGAGAAGCTGCTGTTATAGAAGTACAGAGTATTATCATTTTGGATTCAAACTGACCTGGTGGTCTCATTCCCTCGACTTATATAACCATCTCCATGAAACAGCTTCAATCCAGAGAGCAGAGAAACTAGAGAGTAAAGAAACTAAAGGAGTGGAGACGTTTCCACGGGGAATCACGGATAACGCTGACAGTCTGGAGGGAAATCCAGTTTGATGCAAAGTGAATGAAAGGGAAGCCAAGCGTATGAAGAAACAGGCGGGAAAATAAAATCCGATTTGTATTCACGGAAAGTACATTTTTGTTAGACGGACGTTCAGTGTCGGTTTCTGGAGACTCATGTGAACTCACATCGCTTCATATGACCAGGAGGGTTACTCTAAACATGCAATCCATACAGTTACGAAACATATCAGTCGAATTCATTCAATGTGTCCCACAGAGTTAGATTACCTTGTTACAGGCAGACGTTCTTTCTTTGAAATGGTTTTGGCTACGATTATCAAACAATCAGACGATTTATAACATCCGTCAAAACAAACAAAATGTGCAAACATAAAGATAGAGAAAAAAAAATAAAAACACTATTAGATAAAGGGCATGACCCATTATATTATCAAATAAAAATGGACAGTTATACAATGATACTAAAGCCACGCATTTGGGTGCGAAAAAGCAGAAGCAGCAGCCGCAGGCAGCACGTATTTATAAACTAAATGAAGTGTAACCATTTAGACTAACCCTCAGACATCAAATAGTGATTTCTCCATCTGTTTCCACGTTGTTTCGTTCTCTCTGCGTTGGTGTGTGTGTTAGCGTCTCCTCTCTGTCTCTCCTCTGCTCGACTCGTTCTTTCATCCTCGCTCCGTCTTTCCATCCTTTCGCGGTCGTCTGGTTTTTCGGTGCCATAGGGACGTCGGCCCAGAGAAGAAACACACTCAATGAGAGCTGTGTTTCCCTCATTAGCAGCGAGGGAAAGCCCCCGTCTCAGCCTCAACACAACACAACACACACAACACACACACACACACCACACACCACACACACACACACACATAAAGAAATCCACACTCCGCTGCAACACGGGCAGGTGTACACACACACACACCCCACACACACACAACAACACACACCCACACACACAGGCTCTTTTATGCATGCAGCGGTGTCAGTTTCTGGGTTGTTGGAGATGTGCGGCTACCAGATGTGCTGGAAAGCTTCTTTGTTCTGCGTAAAGCTCCTCTCACGTCTCTTTGTGTCGCTCTGACTCTCGCTGCTGACAGCTGATGATGAAGGCAGAGGGAAAATAGCAACGAGATCAGAGTTTTTCAATAGCAGACTGATTTTTGAATTCTGAGAAAAAAGTCCAATTCTGAGAAATAGTTCAGATTTCTGAAGCATTTTTTATAATAAAAAGTCCAATTCTAATAAAAAAAAATTAAACTTATTTGAAATACTAAATTCTCATTTGAGAAAAAAAGATCAACATTTGAGAAAAAATTCTGACCAAAATGTAAAAAAGTGAAATTTCTGAGAAAAAGTCAGATTTCTGTAAAACTAGAAATTTGAGAAAACATTTCAAAATTCTGAAAAAGAAAACAAATTGAGAAAAAAGACAAAATTCTGAGAAAATTACAAAGACATTCTTTTGTCGTGAAAAAAAATTCAAAATTCTGAGAAAAAGTCAGAATATTGATAAAAAGTAAAAAAAAAGTTTTACAAAGAAAGAAAGAGTAAACATTCTGAGACAAAAGTCATTATCTGGTTTACAATGTGTACAAAGAGCTGTACAGTGTTTTAATGGAGAGGCTGGAAGCAGCTGGACTGATACTTTTATAATAATGCATGAAATAACAAAAGTTTATATCCCCTTACTTAATGAAGCTTCATAGCTCAAAGTTTTAAGCCCGCAACTCTCATAGCGCCGTATTCAGCGATAAAGCTAAACGAAGCCATGCGTACAATAAAGAGTGGTTTGGATTAGAGTCGTTAAAAGGGTTTTTGGAATGTGTTTTTGGTTACATAAAGCACATTGAATTGCCTTGTGTCTGTAATGTGCTATATAAATAAATAAATTCAACTTTATTCATTTGAAGGAATTTGCTAACGTCATTTTGTTTTCAGGGATGTTCACCTACATGAAGGACTCGCGCTGCCCATTGGTTCAGCAGCTGGAAAGTGTTGACAACTATTCAGAGTACCAGTTAGTCGGGACTGTATCCTTCATTAAACACGCACGCACGCACGCACGCCCGCACGTCACGCACGCACGCACGCACGCACGCACGCACGCACGCACGCACGGCACGCACGCACGCACACACACACACACACACACTGTTCTCTTTCACTCCCCACCCTCTCTACTTTCACACACTATAACATTCCTCTCTTCTAAACCCCAGAGGAGTAGGAGATGCTATATTATGTGTGTTTCGGCTGTGGTTCTGCACACGCAACGCCTTGTATGTCGTATTAAATATGGTTTTATTCAGCAGAGAATATAGAATAAAACAGACAAGGTTTCACGCTGGAACATTTCTCCAAAACAGAACGACCTCAGTGATTTTATACACTCTTAAATACGGGATAATGTGCAGCGAGGCGGGCATTAATGAAAGCAGAACACCGACGCTGCACATTGTAACGCTTATTACACGTCAATATACTTAATAAAACAACCACTTTACCGTCAATATAGATTTCAAAAGATATTATTGCTTCCATTAAGAAAAAAATAGTCTGTTCCCTTCAGTGTTTACTTCCTGTCTGTCTTCTTCTGCTGTTCCCTTTAGTGTTTACTTCCTGTCTGTCTTCTTCTGCTGTTCCCTTTAGTGTTTACTTCCTGTCTGTCTTCTTCTGCTGTTCCCTTTAGTGTTTACTTCCCGTCTGTCTTCTTCTGCTGTTCTCTTTAGTGTTCACTTCCTGTCTGTCTTCTTCTGCTGTTCCCTTTAGTGTTCACTTCCCGTCTGTCTTCTTCTGCTGTTCCCTTTAGTGTTTACTTCCTGTCTGTCTTCTTCTGCTGTTCCCTTTAGTGTTCACTTCCTGTCTGTCTTCTTCTGCTGTTCCCTTTAGTGTTCACTTCCTGTCTGTCTTCTTCTGCTGTTCCCTTTAGTGTTCACTTCCCGTCTGTCTTCTTCTGCTGTTCCCTTTAGTGTTCACTTCCCGTCTGTCTTCTTCTGCTGTTCCCTTTAGTGTTCACTTCCCGTCTGTTAGAGTAGCGTAAGTAGCAGAACCCTGAAAAGTTCAAATTGACCAATCAGAATCCAGTATTCAACAAAACCGTGTAATAACAGTATAGGGGTCGGATTACAAAAACACATCATCACCGCACCGCTCTATAAAGATGCTTTGTGTCTCTTTTTCAAGTATTTGTTGTTTCACATTAACAGTAAAAGTGTGTTCTTGTCGTCCTGCAGCTCTCAGACAGCTGCACATTCTTTCCTCCACTTGCAGCTTGTTTGAGCAGGAAATTAGCCTCTTTAGCTCAACACTTACGCTAACTACACCGTGTGTGTGTGTGTGTGTGTGTGTGTGTGTGTGTACCTACATGCATCAGAAAGTCAAAAAAACTAAGGAATAAGAAATCTAGAGAATATGTACATGAAATATTCATATATCACTTTTTATTTCATAGTTTACAAATACTGCGTCCTCGCTGTTGTTTCTGCTGGTCTGTAAATGTACTTTTAGGGTTGTGTGTGGTGTGTGTGTGTGTGTGTGTGTGTGTGTGTGTGTGTGTGTGTGTGTGTGTGTGTGTGTGTGTGTGTGTGTGTGGTGTGTTGTGGTGTGGTGTGTGGTGTTGTGTGTGTGTTGTGGTGTGTGGTGTGAGCTAATGTATCAACCTCTTGTTCCTGTTTGGTCGTCATGGTAGCTTCTCCTCACTATGGAGATGACGAGCTGCAGAGAAAAGGAAAGAGAGAGTGGTGTGTGTGTGTGTGTGTGCGCTCTGTCTCCCCCCTCTTGTTCCTGTTTGGTCGTCATGGTAGCTTCTCCTCACTATGGAGATGACGAGCTGCAGAGAAAATGTGAAAGAGAGAGAGAGTGAGAGAGAGAGAGAGAAGTGATATGCATAGATAGAGTAAACAACAACAAACACTGAGGAGAGGGGGGTCTCTCTCGTTAAAGCGCAGTTTAAGGATGCGTTGCACTTTATATCTTCATTAATACCGTTACACCACTTGTAATACGCACCTTTGTATATGTTAACTGTAGTGTGGCGTACACACTTTTACTCAGAACTATTTATACAAACCTGAGAAATGAAACAAAAAATGTGGAATAAAAAGAAAACACAATAATTTATTTAATTTAATAATCTTTTATTGAACATTTTATTACTTATATTTCTTATGTTTATTTACATGTTTGTGTTTATTATGTTGCGCATATGCTGTAATTCTGTGTGTACTGGCTAATTCAATAGGAAATGTGCTTATAGTTATAGTAGATTTAAGGTAGATTGGTCTTTGTTTACTGAGTTGTATCGCCTTCATGTCTCCAGGAGCTGTTGAGACAACACTGAGAAACAGAGCGGCCATGATGAAGAGAGAGAGAGATTTATTCATGCTGTCCCATAAAGAAGGTGTGTGTGTGTGTGTGTGTGTGTGTTTGTGTGTGTGTGTGTGTGTGTGTGTGTGTGTGTGTGTGTGTGTGTGTGTGTGTGGTGTGTGTGTGTTGTGTGTGTGTGTGTGTGTGTGTGGGTGTGTGTGTGTGTGTTGTGTGTGTGTGTGGTGTGTTTGTGTGTGTGGTGTGTGTGTGTTGTGTGTGTGTGTGTGTGTGTGTGTGTGTGTGTTGTGTGTGTGTGTGTGTTTGTGTGTGTGTGGTGTGTTGTGTGGTGTGTGTGTGTGTGTGTGTGATGGTGTGTGTTTTGGTGTGTGTGTGTGTGTGTGTGTGTGTGTGTGTGTGTGTGTGTGTGTGTGTGTGTGTGTGTGTGTGTGCGCGCGCGTGTGCGTGCGTGTGTTTGTTTGACTTCATAATGACCTTTAATGGTTCTGGTAATTGTACAGTTCATGTTTGTTTTTTTGTGTGTCGCCTACCTGTAATCAGTAGTGTTCAGATCACACACACACACACACACACACACACACACACACATAACCTACACACACAATTACACCACATATGGTCACCACATGTTGCAGCTATGAACACTCGGTGTATGTATGTGTGTGTGGGGGGGTGTGTGTGTTTGATCTGAACACTACTACTCAAGTTGAACCTTGTATTTAAACATAACATTATTGCTTTCATCTAACCAATGTGAAATCTCAAACTACAAACACTACTATTACTACTACTACTGCTACTACTTATACTACAAACACTACAACTACTGCTATTACTACTACTACTTATACTGTAGTAGTAGTAGTAGTAGTAGTAGTTGTAGTAGTGTTTGTAGTACAAACACTACTACAACTACTGCTACTACTACTTATACTACAAACACTACTACTACTACTTATACAGTAAATACTACTACTACAAACACTACTACTACTACTTATAGTGCAAATACTACTACACTAGTAAAGGTTTTCTGAGCCTGCATTCTCTCTAACGTCCAGCAGGGGGCGACGCCACACTAGAAGGTCCATGAGAAACAATGAGCCCACTTTGATATATAACCCTCAGTCTTTATTTTCCTCATGCTTTAAGTTCTTAATAATCTATTTAAAGTCTTATTAAATACAGCTATGATGTAATTTAGTGAATTAAATCTAATTATTGTCTCATATGGAGTCAAAAACAGAGTTCTCCTCCTTAACTCCATGTTCTCAGCTGATGGGCTTAGCGTTTATAACAGCATCGCTCCTGGGACATCACTTCCCCCTCTACTGCTACAGGTAGGTGTGTGTTGTGTGTGTGTGTGTGTGTGTGTGTGTGATGTGTGTGTGGTGTGGTGTGTGTGTGTGTGTGTGTGTGGTGTGTGTGTGTGTGTGTGTGTGTGATGGTGTGTGTGTTGGTGTGTGTGATGGTGTGATGTGTGTGTGTGTGTGTGTGGTGTGTGGTGTGTGTGTGTGTGTGTGTGTGTGTGTGTGTGTGTGTGTGTGTGTGGTGTGTGTGTGTGTGTGGGTGTGTGTGTGTGTGTGTGTGTGTGTGTGGTGTGTGCTGTGTGTGTGTGTGGCCTGGCATTACTATCCTTGTGGGGACCTGAAATATGTTTACACAGTCACGGTGGGACTCACATTCCCTTATGGGGACATAATGGAGGTCCCCATAAGGAGAATCATTAATTTTAGGGTGAAGACTTGGTTAGGGTAAGGGTTAGGGAGGCATGTGTTGGTTATGGTTAAGGTTAGGATACGTCTCCAGGAAATACATGTAAGTCAATGTAATGTCCCCTGAAGTGATGTATACATGGTATGTGTGTGTGTGTGTGTCTGTCTATGTGTGTGTGTTGTGTGTGGTCTGTCTATGTGTGTGTGTGTGTGTGTGTGTGTGTGTGTGTGTGTGTGTGTGAAGCAATGAAAAGGTGCTTTATAAATTGAATTTATTATTATTATTATTATTATTATTATTATTATAGTATAACAGTATACCCATAGTTGGTAGGCATGTATTGAATGCAACATCTGTAAGCAAAGGCAGCAGAAGTAACATACAAATAGGCAAATACTATTGATTCGTGGGTCAATTTATAAATATTCCTGAGTAATGTGACAAGTCATGGTTTAGTGTATTCACTGCTGGAGGGGCAACATTTGGGGGAAAAGATTAGGAGTCTACATTTAAAATGTTGCTCTCAATTACAAAATCAAAACGTTTCCTTTATGCTATCGGAGCTGTTGCAATAACAAGAGGAATGCCATTTTTTTTATTCCTGATCCTCCTCCCTTACAGGAAGCTCCTGACTCCGCCCACTGTACCATGTGACCCGAACGCATCCATCGGCATGGCAACTGCCACCCTGGACGACCTGCAGCAGATCATGCCGGTATGAAAGTCAGCGCAAATTTAAAGCATAAGTAATAAACAAAAATAAAAACAATACTAACCGCATCAGCAGGAGAGGACTCTTTAAAGAAGAGACACTACATACTGATATACACCTGAACATCAGCAGGAGAGGACTCTTTAAAGAAGAGACACTACATACTGATATACACCTGAACATCAGCAGGAGAGGACTCTTTAAAGAAGAGACACTACATACTGATATACACCTGAACATCAGCAGGAGAGGACTCTTTAAAGTAGAGACACTACATACTGATATACACCTTAACATCAGCAGGAGATGACTCTTTAAAGTAGAGACACTACATACTGATATACACCTGAACCTCAGCAGGAGAGGACTCTTTAAAGTAGAGACACTACATACTGATATACACCTGGACATCAGCAGGAGAGGACTCTTTAAAGAAGAGACACTACATACTGATATACACCTGAACATCAGCAGGAGAGGACTCTTTAAAGTAGAGACACTACATACTGATATACACCTGAACATCAGCAGAGAGGACTCTTTAAAGTAGAGACACTACATACTGATACACCTGATCATCAGCAGAGAGGACTCTTTAAAGTAGAGACACTACATACTGATATAC